ACAAATTTGGCATATTGTGGTAGGGTTTGGCCTACAAGTAGATGTTGAAGGCACAGTTGATTGACCTCTGTTTCTTGAGAAATTTTGAGTACGGCCCTTGTTGGAGAAAAGCGCAACCTGAGCTAGATTTTGTTCCTCTACTGCAATGGTAGTCGGGTGTAGTTCTTCACTCCAGAAAAGGCCGTGCTGATCTTCCAAAGTGATAGGTGTTCGAGTTTGGTTTGAATTGTTGTCTTGCAAGAATTTTAAGAATGGGGAAATCATTTAATATGTAAATGATGATATCTTCTGGATCTACCTGAGAGCCAGCGGCTAAAATCTGATCTACCAACATCTTGATTTCTGTAAAATACTGATTCATTGAGTTGATTTCATTGAGATATTATGGAGCTTATTCTTGAGTGGGATGACAGAAGATTGACTAGAGAATTGAAGACATTTTGATAAAGTTGCCCAGATGACAGTTGTGGTTTCAAGATTCAGCGCATGAGGAAAAATGAATGAATTAATGGTGGCATAGAGGGTTGCAGCTGAATTTTGATCTAGAAGTTTCCATGTAGTTTGAGGAAGAATCATTGATGATGTCAGATGAAGAGGAAGGATAGATTGAAGTTCCTTCAAGAAAATATTCAAACCCATTTGTCTTGAATAATTTGTAGATTTGAGAGCTCCAAATAAGATAGTTCTCTGTGGTCAGTTGAATGGTAACAAGATTTCTGATATTTCCCATAAGAAATTAAGAGGAGGTATAGAAAAAGAGGGAGACGAAAAAAAGATAGGTATCATTTGATGAATCAGTGGAATCCATGACTAAGAACAGAGTTCAAAGGATCAAGAACGATGAAGAAGAAGCCAATAATAGAAAACAAGAAAAGAAATATTGATATATTTTGAATTAAAATTTTAAGGATTGAATTAAAAATTACGGAGCATGGATTTTAGTAAATTTATAATTATATTGTACTTCCAAAAAAAATTTATAATTAAATTGAATAGAATATAAGAGCTCTTTTGACACCAAGAGTTATTCAATCCAATTTCAAGAATGTACGCTCCAATAATTGAAGTTTAATTAGGAATTTGGGAGCATTAAGTGAAATGTTAATTAATCTTTGAATTTGATAGAATTTGGTATTTTTATAATCAAATCAAGTGGTTCGACTAGAATAATTTAATGATTAAAAAACACTTAGGAGTCATGTGGGATCACTTTTATTTTATGTTTTCTTTTATTTATATTATTTTGATTATATTTTAATTTGAAACAAAATATGTTTGGTTAGTATATAATTGTTTTTTTAAAACACTCAAAACACCCAAAAAGTTATTTCAAATACCCTAAAAAATATGTTTATTTGTTTTTAGAATAAAAAATAAAATTATGTTAAAAATACATTAGACAAAATTATTTTTTAAAATAAAGAAAAAACAAAATTGATTTTAAACAAGGCCTTAGATGTTGAAAAAATGTTATGATTGAAAGATTTGGTTGTGCAAGCAACGAACACTGCCTCCTTCTCAGTCTCATGAGAGTCAGGGCCTTCTAATCATTTTCTTTTATATCTCTAAAGTCATCTGGATACAACATCTTGGTAAATAACTATTAGCATGAGGTAATGGTGGACCAACAACTTTTTTCCCTCAATTATGTCGGCCTCCATGAAAACCCTATTTGACACTTTTCTTTTCACATTTGATGGGGCTTCCTCAGACAATTTGACACTTTTCTTTTTTACTTTTGATGTGCTTCCCTTAACAACATTGTATGGATGAACCACCTCGACGAGAGGGACCCAAGCATAACTGTTTATTACAGTCATTCACCTTATTTTCCAAGTCTAGCAGCTGGAGTCGACTAATCCAAGGAAATTGAAGGAACCCCGTCTTAACTAACCCAAAACGAGAACAAACGACCAAATAAACTGATGGACCATGTGATCCCTAGCCATTGACATAACACAACGTTGGTCATAAAGGTTGTCAGGGCTTGATCTGAGTGGGCATAACACTGTAGTTGACAAAGCTATAGCATAACTTGAAGCACAACGTCAATTGAAGGCCGAACCATAACTGATCCATATAAAAAAGTAGATCAACTCTGTACAACAATGTTGCTTGGTTAACCACACTAGCAACCCAAAGCTTGATGGCAGAGTAAAAAATATGGCTCTCTTACAGTAGATCAACCTCGCCTTGAGTCATCTATAATCAATCGCTCAGGGCAACCACTTTGAAATTTTGAGGAGAATACGGGGAGCCATCGACCATAGCACAAAAAAATATAATCCAAGAGACTGAGAGAAATGAAGGGAACACGACCACAACATCCTTTATATATATAGGAAAATTGAGGAAGTCTAACCATCACAAGAGGGTAAAAATTGAAGTAACCAATCATTTCCATAATTGGTAATTAACAGGATCACATCAATACATGAAACTAGACAAGAAAAATAAAATTTATTTGGAAAAAGACAACTTAATTACAATAAAGCGCTAGAAATGTGTCTTAGATAAAATATTTGACAATGGAATTTGTTGTTGTTTCAGTCGAGTCATAACCCTATCGAAGTGGCCTTCTATATAGGAACTTTCTTATTATATCAAAATTGATTCAACCAATTTGACTCGGCTTGCACTTGGAAGATCAGGGATCTCTCCCGGACATCCAACATCTCCTCACGGAGAGTCACCACTACCTTTTTATCCTCTTCATCATCTCCATAAGATCCAACGACTTGAGCATCTTCTCACCTTATTTAATCCCTACCAAATGATCAAAGGATCTCTCGATTTCTTCTAGATGATAAGCATGCGACCTAGGGGTGCCTTGAGTTGGTTAGCCGCCACCTCACATCCTTCAAGGGAATCATCAGGGCGATTAAACTTTCCATCTTCGCTTAAGATTCGACCACCTTTGTTCGGCATCTGGTCTGACAAAGTTCCCACCTAAGCCAATCAGAGTTGGATCATCATCTAGGTTTACGAGAGCTAAATCAATTGCATCAGGAGATGTCGTAAAACAAAAAAAAAGGTCTGCATAAAAAAAATTGAACCCTGCAAACGAGATTGAAACCCTTCATACCTAGGAACCAATTTCCACCAAGATAATGTAATAGATGGCATCCTCATCATGGAGTACCAATGAAAACAACAAAAGAACCTCAGAAACCATCTGAGTTTCCTAGTCGATCGAAGGGTCTTGTCTCGTAGCGGAAGGTTGGGCGATCAAACCGAAGATTGGGTCGATCGCTAAACGTTTCTCCATGTAGTGCAAAGGATCGAATTAGACAACCTCACCTGATCCAATAGCGGTGGTACATTCTTATTCTTCGGGATAACCTTTTTCCTCCTCTCACCTTCCAAGCAATCTCATCCATTCAGTTTTCTGAAGGCGAGGCAAATAAGATCCTTGTTAAGAACATCAACATGGGATTTCAATAGCTTATCCACCATAGCTCTTAAGGCATAGAGAGGGACTCAATCAAATACAGATAAGGCAGAGCAAATTAGAAATGGGAAGGAACCCCATCATGCCCAATTTATGATAGTCAATATGTCGAAATCAAGGAAGATCAATTATTGAATCATTAACGAAAATTTAATGTGATATATTTTTTACATTAAATTATCTTATTCTTATGACAACGTTGTTTTCAAGAATTAAGATACTCAAGAAACTAAAACATGTAAATAAAAATGTGTTTACATTGATCTTAAAGAGATTTGATGGTTCATAAGGGAACAATACAATGAAGACAGACCCACTTAAAGGATATCATAGGGGTCATCTGACCAAATGAGCCAAGCCAACTAAACCAAAATCGACTAAGTCATGAGGCTAAAAGAAGATGAATGAACTATCTAAGCACAATCCATCTAGCTGAAAATGAGATTAAAAAGTTTATGTGCCATCCGCTCCAGGAAAGTCTACTCAATGTAATTGACTACCCGCAATAAAGTCAATAAAAAAGACCCAGTTCCACAAATTATTTTCAATTATCCCGTGAAGACTCTAAAAGCTCCTCACATGGAATCGAGAATAGTAAACTAGGTTGGACCAGCTGACTGAACCACGCTGACCAAACTGAGCCCATCGACTAAAAGTCAATTGAGTTTAGCCGACATAGTCAAAAGCCGACTAGATGACAAACCCATAAATATAAAATATTAGGAATACTCTAGCACGAAACACTTTCAAACATGAAAAAAAATTTAATATCATCATCGTTCTATCTCGCTCTATCTATCTCTTCTTATTTTAAGCTCTACTATTTGAGTGTAATTCATCACGAATATCAGATTCAACATATAATTAACTTTTATAAAATTGAAATACATATTCTCTTGCTGACATTGAAAACTTTAGGTGTTAAATCTACAAATACACTTGAATGTCGCTATATGCATGTAAATTGCTAAAATAAAAATAACCTGTCCTCCGCTGTCGCGTCAATGGGTACTTCTCATGTGGAGAAGGCGCCCAAGCCGGAACCCTCGTCTTCCCTCCTAAAATGAGTTTTATCGCCCGAGTTATGTAGCTCCATAAGAGCAAGTTTCCGACGTAAGCAATGGAGAATCCCTTCAGTCTCAAATTTGGTCAGGTCTTCACAGGCTTTGGAGTCGGTTGCGGGATTGGAGTCGGCGTCGGTCGTCCGATATACTTTGGTGAGCTCCTTGACTCGATTCTGAACCAGACTACTCTGTTTTATCTAATTTTTATCCACTGGATCAATGATATGAGAAGTTTTTTTTGTGGAACCAGCGAGGAGGCTCGTAAAATACTTTTAATCGACATTGTGCTGTTCCATTATCATCCTTAATTCCCTATAGTTGTTTTGGTTTTTGGTTTTAGAACACGTTTGTGGACTGCTGTCGAATACCTTATGTGCATGAAGGTAGTCGTGTCTTTCATGTTAAGCTGTGTACTAAGCTGTCTTCTAAATATGTTTTTCCATTTTTGCGTGGTTAATATTTGGAATATGTTTTATTTATCAACTCTGTTCTGTTTGTTCTATGTTATTACAGTTCTTAGAAAGGAATGATCTTTTCAAAACTGTGAAACAGCCCCTCCTTTCTGTCAATAGAGTAGAGCATGACATGCGTTTGAAATTTTATAGTTGAAAATTCTTTACAAATTTGTTTAAAGTTTCATTTATGGAATTATATTTAGCGTTTGTTAACAGGGGCAATACCAGTTTTGCAGCCAGTTCTCAGTGCTACAAGTGGCGCCACAGATGCTCTATCTGGTGTTGTGAGACATGCCAACGATTCTGTATGAACCCTCCTCTGGTTCACTATTTCAATTCATGTTGGATTTTTAGTATCTGGAGCCTTACATTCTTCTTATTATGTATTCAGCTGAAAAAGATAGGAATGAAAGGAATTGAAGCAGGCATTGGGTGTGGGGTTGGCATAGGACATGGTTTTGGAGTTGGTATGTGAAATCATAGTATTTTTAGCATAATAATCTGGTCAACAGTCAACTTTTCGCCACGAAAACCATACCAAAACTGCTATTGATTTGGGATACATTATTAATCTATTATTTCAAGGGAAATTTACATACATGCCATGCAATTATCAAGTATATACATATCTAACACCCAAAGTTTGATATTTACATTTATAGTGTCATAAACCTATGCATGAAAAGGTGTATTTCACTTTTAAAAAGATAAACGATGGCGGTATTTTTGATTTGATGTTGAAAATTTTAGTGGTATTGATTTACATAGGCATGTTTAGGTGTTAGATATGTAAATGCATAAGAATTGTGTGGTATGTATATAAATGCCCCTACTTTCAGTTGTTGTGCAATTGTTGTAAACTTTTTATGCATCATGATAAGATAGTGACTACTATGTGGTATTCCTGTGTTTATTGAATGACTTGACATGTTGAACCAGCTTTTTCTGTTGATTCCATTGTTGTTTTTAAATTGGAAGTATCAAACAGAACTGTTTCCAAAGGGTATTTTATTTGTGTCTGATACTTTTGGTTACATGCGTACTCGAAAATGCCATGACATAACAGTCCATGTTGTGAAATTTAATTTTTATTTACATGCACCTTTCCTATGCATGAAAAGGTGTATTTCACTTTTATTTTTGCATGCATTACACAGTAGTATTTTTTATGTGATATGAAGTAGTATTTTTTATGTGATATGACATATTTTGGTGGTACAACAAATTAAAAACTAGGTGTTAGATATGTAAATACATAAGAATTGGGTAGTATGTATGTAAACATCCCTAAAAAAAATTAATGTACATTGGATGTGTTAGTGATTAGTTTTAAATGTTATTTTTTCCCGTTCCTTTGAGGTAACTTTTATTGTTTATTATGTTTTTTTGCTAATTTTAAATTAATGTGTGCGTGTAGCATTCATCCTTGTTTATGTACTGCGGTAATATTTTTTCGTGTTTGGCTTCACAAAAATAGATGGTTGTTTGTAGTTTTTATTTCGTTGCAAGTTTTTGCAGTTCTTGTTGTATAAATAAAATAGTAGAAATTTATTTATATATGTTTTTTTTTGTAGAAATTTATGTTCTCGTTAATGATATCATCCTTATTTTGGATAAGACTAGATTAAGAGTTCAAGATAAACTTGAATTATGGAGTTTTGCATTGAAGTCTAAAGGCCTTTGTTTGAGTAGATCTAAAACTGAATACAACAACAAAAACAACAAGAACAACAACAAACATTTATCCTAGTAAGTGGGGTCAGCTACATGCATCCTTTTTCCCATTGTGTCCTATTGAGTGTCATATTTTCAATTACATCTAATAAAAGATCATTTTTTATACAATTTACTCAAGTCTTTCGTGGTCTACCTCTGCATTCCTTATCATAAATTGAATCTAAAACATCTACCCTCCTAACTAGATTATCAGATAGTCGATGTTTAATGTGACCAAAACATCTAAGACGACTCCCTCTAATTTTTTCTGCCACTCGAGCCTATCACAGATATATTAATTTTGCATTTTGTCTTTAAGTGTAAAGCCAGTCATCCACCTAAGATTTCTCATCTCGACAACACTTAATTTTATGCTTCTGTTTTAAAGGCCAACATTCTGCAACATAGAGTGTTGCTTGTCTCACCATATCTTATAAAATTTCCCTTTAGTCTAAGTGATATTTTTTTATTACACAATAGGCCTGAAGCATTCCTCCACTTCAACCAAACAACTTGAATTCTACGCATGACATTCCCACTGTATCACCATCACTTTGAACAATAGCCCCGAGATATCTAAAGTGTTCACACCTTTGAATAATTTGATCATTTATAGTTACAACTCTATCACTAGAGCTATTAATACTAAGCTATTAATACTCTATTAATACTAAAATTACATTCCATGTATTCAGTTTTAGTTCTACTCAAATGAAGGTTTTTAGACTCCTATGTATACCCGCATAAATCAAGTTTCTCCTGAGCTCTTTTTCTAGTTTTATCCACAAATAGGATATCATCAACGAAGAACATACACCAAGGTACATCCTTCTGTAAATGTCCAGTAAGAACATCCATAACTAAAGCAAAAAAAATATGGGCTTATAGTCGATCCTTGATGTAATCCAGTTGAAATAGGAAGATATTTGGTCAATCCTCCTGTTCGAACACAAGTAACAACTCAAGTATACATATCTTTAATGACTTGAATATAAGTCATATCAAAACCTTTCTTCTCTAGAAATTTCTAAAGGATATCTCTTGGAACCTTATCGTAAGCTTTTTCCGAATCAGTCAAAATCATATGTAGATTCTCCTTATTCTCTACATACTTCTCTATCAAACCTCTCAGTAAATTTATAGCTTCCATAGTAGACCTGCTCGATATAAATCCAATTTGATTATGAGAAATCTTTGTAATACATCTTAACCTATGTTCAATTACCGTCTCCCATAATTTTAAAGTAGGACACATCAACTTAATTCCTCTATAATTTGTACTCTTGTGCATCCCCTTTATTCTTAAAAATGGGGACCAAAATACTCTTCATTCACTCCTCATACATCTTTTTAGTTTTTAAAATAATATGAAAGAGTTTAGAAAGATGAGAAATTCTTAAATCTCCTAAATAATTCCACACTTCAATTGAGATATCATCAGGTTTTATAGACTTTCCACTGTTAGTTTACTTTAAAGCCTCATCACTTATTTTTTACTAATTTGTCGGTAAAAATGAAACATTTTTATTATTATTAACAATAACGAGATCAAGAAGGTCGATTGTATTTTCAGAAAATTCATTAAAAAGTTCATCAAAAAAACTCACCCACCTTATGCTGAATATCTTTTTCTAAAACAAATACTTTTTTATTTTCATCTTTAATACATTTTACTCGAGTTAAATCTTTACTTTTCTTTTTTTTTTGTTTGGCTAGTTTATACATATATTTTTTACCCTATTTAGTATCAAATATTATAAAGATCACCAAAAGAAGAATTTTTAGCATCACAAATTGTTCTCTTAGACTATCTATGTGTCATTTTATATTTTTCTCAGTTTTCTAAGTTTATACATTTAAACCAATTTTTATAACATAACTTCTTATAATTTATCTTTTGTTGCACATTATTATTTCACCATCAACTATTTCTATGTATAAACAACTTTTCATTTTGATTCTCCAAGTACATGTTTTGTCACTTATTTTATAGTGTTTGTTACATTATCCCACATATAATTTGCTTCTAAACATTCCCAAATCTTGAAATCTTGAAGTTTACTCTTGAAAATAATTTTATTTGTCTTTTAGGTTCTGTCATTTGATTATATGACAATGATTCCTAACATTCTTTATTTTGCAACTCATCTTCAAATCCATAACTAATAATCGATGTTGAGTATTTAAATTATGACTTATAATGACTTTACAATCTTTACATTATGGACGATCTCTTTCTCTCATAAGAAATAATTAATTTGTGTTTTATTATATTCATTTTTATAAATAATAATATACTCTTCTCTTATCTCGAATTAAATATTAGCAATAACAAAATCACACGCTAAAACAAAATCTGATATGATTTTATCTTCTTCATTAATCACTCCAAAACTGTAGCCACCATGAATATTTCTATAATCTTCACCAATCTATTTACATGTCCATTTAAATCTCCTCTAATAAAAGTTTTTTCTTCAAGAGGTATCATTTGTATTAATTTTTCTAGTTTATTCTAGAATTTTTATTTGGAACCTATATATAAACCTACTTGAAGAGCATAAACACTTATACTATTAAAAATCTTAGTATAAACAATAATCTTAAGGGCTATAATTCTATCTCCAATTGTATTAATTTTTACAACATTATCTTTGAGATTCTTATCTATAATTACACCTACGTCATTTCTAGCGTGATTCTTACCTGAATACCAAAGTTAAAAATTCAAGTTATCAATCTCCTTGGCATTTTCTCACATTCTTTTAGTTTCTTGAATACATAAGAATATATTTATCTTTCTATGCATCATAATATTAACTAATTCGATTAATTTACCTCTGAGAGTACTTATATTTCAAGATCCTATCTTAATATTAGTTTCATGGACTAACCTCTTTAATTGCATCCGCCCGTAATGTGGGAACCCTTATTTGACACTACACCCGGGCGTTGATGTAGCGGTTCTTGAACACTTTTTACTATGTTCATGTCATACAACACATTGCTTTCAGAAGTCACCCTAGCATTTACACAAGATTAAAATGATTCATGTCACAAATTTTTCACCAAATTTTACGCTGACTATCGACTACTTAATGTAACTCTTCTTTTTTCACATTCGGGACGGACCCGACAATGACAGTGTTCTAAAATTAAATACATGAAATGTAATTTTAGAATTAGTTTTAGTGGCACAGTTGTAACAATAGGTGATCAAATTATTTTTTCTTTAATTTAGGCTTTCTATTTGTATTTTGTTGTATTTCTTTGTTTAATTTACTATCCCATACTGCAATGCATAGCTACAATATCACCACTGTAATGTTTGACCACTTATGCTGCCAGCTACAATAATCAATCTTGTCTTCTACTTTATCCCAGCTTTCTCTCTTTATTTCTCTTAGAACTCATGATAAATTAAGCCAATTTCAAGAGAAGGAAGCAGAAGAAGATCAAAAGAGAAGATGCTCATCAAGGGCTGTAATCAAATTGACATTAGACTATTCTCCTTCTATACCAGCTTGATACCTATTTGAGAAAGATAAATGCCTGTCAATCACCAAATAAGCCTTGTAGTTGAAATATCATGTTGGGAGCAAGCAATACCACGCAAAATCATAGTCTAGATTGTTGATGACAACTTCAAGTAGATTAGTTATTTCAAAGTTTTTGATTGTTGGAAAATATGAATGAGGCTTGTAGATTTTAGGGTTAAATTCATTTGGTTTAAATGGTGAAGTACATCTAAGGTACTATGTGACTGGAAAACGTAATGCTCACTTGAAGAAAAGTTTTATAACTAAGAAATAGACTAGCATTTTGGTGTGGATTCACGTTATGATAATAAAAATGCCACTAACAAGTAACAATTGAGTGTGTTCAAAAGGAGAATATTGAGATAGTTGTGCTGTAAAATTAGGAAGGTAAATGTCAAAATGATTTCATTATAGAAAATTTTAGAGCAGCACTATTTACGATAAGGTTATTGAGAATCAAACTTTGTTAATTTGGATATGCTTAATGATGGGAAAGTGATACTTTAGAATGGTGTGGAAACTTGAATTTTGGTATTTTCTTGTAGCTCCTTCAGGCTAACATTAGCGAATAAATGTACTGGGTAGTGCAGTGATTCATTGCGAGTCCTGGTGTTTTTCTGTGATTTTATCTTTTCATTTATTTGTTGGCACCTCGAAGAACCACACTTAGCATTTTGCCCCAGCTCACATCATGTGATTCTGCAAATGAATGACAGATCAAGACTATGATCATCTATGAGAAGTTTCCCATAATAGTGAAATTACTTTTAAATCCTTAACATCATAGTCACTTAACACTTATCCCAAAAATAATTATGAGTCCTTCCACTGAACTATGAAATCAATCTATAGGTTTGTGATGTCATGTTTGGAGAGAGCAAAAGAGGGGGGAGGGTGGATTGTGGTGCCGAGGTTGTCACTTGGTATGGTTGTTAGCCATCACACAAGAAAATTTATTGAGCAGCATTTATTCAGGTCATTTTGGTTTAGTAGATGGAAAATTTGAAGGCAACAGCTCAATTGCGACGTTTTATAAGTAATGGACATGTATGCAGGCAGGGATGCCAAAAATCATGGATCATCATGTATATACAGTGGCCTAAACCTCATGGGCCCCTAAGTAATTTATCCTGGTTAGAACTAACCACCAAAAAAGGTTTGAAAGGTTAGATGGAAGGAAACCGTGTACAACTAAAAAAATATCTGTTTAAAACCATATGCAACATTTAGTCTTATGGATGAAGAAAAACTTTTCAAGCCAATCCAAACGGCCGAATAAGGGCATGAGGGTGATGATAATGATGGTTTTGATTTTTTGAGCATGAAAGTCTGATTTTGTGCATCTTCTTTACTGGTTATACATATGTCTAACGTGAAGTAGGAAAGTGCAGAAATACGCAGAAGGCAATGTTACAACACTTAATATTGTTACTGATTGCCATGCCATGTCTTTACATTTATTATGGGAACTATAACATTTTGGCTACAGGCATTGCTTTGAAGCCATGGGTTTTTCAACAAATTCAGACTTCTATTACCGTATGTTTTTTTAACCTTTCATTTTCTCTATTTTTTTGTTTTACGGTTTTATTTTTAATTATTTGTTGCCTGTGCTTTATAGGAATCAGTAATGAAGATCATGATGAATATGGGAATAGCACCAAACCTGTCTTCGGTCAAGAACTTCATTCCTGTCTCCACTCAGAGTGGTATTTTGACTAGCAACATTCAAACTTTTTCAAGTGGTCCCTTAGATCCATCTAGAACTATGCAAAACACATTTCAACACTCAAGAAGTGTTGGAAGTATCCATAGAGAAATTGACTCTAATATTTCTGGGCAAAAAGACAATTTCTCAAGCACACTACCGGGGAGCCGCACTGAAAAGGTCGTCGACAATTTCTTGCAGAGTTCTGCTTTCAAAAATGAAGCTGAAGCGGAGCTGATTGAAGGGGTATATATGGCAAATCATGTCCATTACGTTTGTTTTTTTCTTTTTTCAATCTTTTACTATTGTTTATTATAATATTTTTTTCTTGTTATTTCTTTCTTTAATTGTGCCAAAATTTAGTTAACCCGATAAGTAGAAATTGAAAATTCAAATTTAACTTTGAATATCAATTTTCCTAAATTTCTTCTTCCTACCTAATCTAAATTCAAACCAAGTCATCCATTTAAGATTTCAATTCCTAAACAACCCAAATCCCAAATGGATACTGATTAGCCTTCTTACCTTACATAATCTATACCATTAAATGGTTTAGTCACTTGAAAGTAACCCCCATCATTCTAAAAAAACCAATAGTCTAATCAAGTCCATTTAAAATCTATACAATCTAGCCTATTTACACAACCTTTTTTTTATTTACCTTATTCTATTTAATTAGTATTAACATAACCCAATTTTTTGAACCAAACCCAAATAGCCTAACCTAAAAGTTAGCTTCAATTAACCGATACATCAATTAAAGCAGACTACCAAACTTTTAAAGGCTCCTTTTAAGTGTTATGATAATGTGTAACGACCCAAACTCTCACCCATCGAGATATGGTCAGCTTTGGCTTAATTCCCTCACGGTTTTGTCCCATTAGTATAACTTTCTAGGATGTCACTCATCTAAAGAGTGCTCCCGCACAAAAAATATTTGCGTACTATGGCTGCTACAGTACTGTAGGATTTATTAGCGGGAGACGGGTCGAAAGAGTCTCGTTTTCCTTTCTTATATTTTCTTTCCCTTTACCTTCATTCTTTTTTAGTCTTTTCGTGTATATATATGTTATATTAGGGTTTGGAAGGAGTTTTTTGGCATGAGCTTGTTTAGGGCTGTCGACGACCACCTTTTCTCTCTTTGAGGGCTACATCTAAGGGTTTGAGTAGTGTTGTGGCTTTATCTCCTTTCCGAGGTGGAGATTATCTTTCTTATCCTTTTCCGCATCCTTCCCACATCGCTCTCGGTCATTCCATCCCTGCTGCAGCCTCCCGAAACACCTGTCCTAACTGTTTCTTCCTGCAGTTTTCTATCTTCCAGCCGCTGCTAGCTGCTCTTTTGCTTGCTGCCGCCATCCAGGACTACAAGGAGTTACTGTTCCTGCCTTTTCCAGCCTTCCCCTCCATTGTGCCTCCCCTTCCCACTTGCTGCCTCTTCCAAAACCCGCACCCTACTCCTTCCCACTTGCTGCTACCTTCCAGAATTTGCCTCCCTCACTGCCGCAGACATTCCATCTGCCCCTACCACTCTCCGTCGCTACCTACCTGCTGTCCATCCTTCCCCCTTGCCATTTCCGGCCAACCCCAGCTTTTCCAACCACCCTTGCCACTCTCCGCCGCTACTTAGTTGTTGTCCCAACCATTCCCCATGCTGTCCTCACTGTTGCAGCCTCCCAATCAATCCCCCGTGCCGCCTTTTTTCCAAAGAGTTATTGCAGAGTGTGCGCCTAAAGTTCTAAAGCTAGAAGACGTAGATTGCTCGTACTCACCGAAGCCGAAAGAATTTCTTCTTGAACCCAACATTACTTGAGATCAATATCATGTGATCAACTTTGCAAAAAATTTTGTTTTTGACATTATTTATACAATGTTCTTCTCATTTATATTTATATGCAGGCTCGGAATTTGCGTACAGAGAATAATTTGCTTCAACTGGTAAGTTTAAAATGACTTATTTTTTCCTGATTGTTACTTTTAATTTCTTGATGGTTATTTGATTTTAGTAATATTTACACACATACCACTCATTTCTTATGTATTTATTTACATGTTAACGCCTATACTTCAATGTTTACATATACGCACTTCTTACCTATCCGTGAAAAGGTGCATTTCACTTTTTTAAAGTTAAAATAGTGATATTTTTCATGTGATATGAAAGATTTTGGTTATATAAATATAATTAGATATCTAAATGCATAAAAATTTGGTTGTATTGGATTCACTTCTTTTGCACGCAAACCGTTGGAATCCTTAAAGACCAATGGGACATCAGAGATGAAACTTATTCACGTTTCACAATTTCATTTCCAAACTTCTGCAACTTCAGCTGGGCATTTAATTGGTCTGCTTCTCATAACAACAATTAAAAGTGTTCTTAGTTTTGTTAATTCTTCCTTTACCTCGCCTGTAAAGGGAGACATCTTCTCCAGGTTTCCCTCTCATCCACTCTTCTCTCCCTACCTCTCCCAGTTTAGCTTGTCTTCTTTTGTCTGTGGGCACACAGATAGAAATTTGATCTAAGGAGTCCGGATTAAAAGGGAATAACAAATGAGCTCAATATAGCAATAATCAAATTTATATGTTTTTCCACACCAAACGTATTTTTCAATCACTTCATATGATACTAAAACATATCACTCTCATGTTACTTTGGTTTCGTCCCTCTTAACTGCTTGAGCTTGATTGATTAATCTAGTTTGAGTCCGAGCTCGAGCCTTATCCAACGAGTTCGGGTTGGCTCACGAGTTAGCTTGTTTATTATGAAAAAAATAAATATTGTTCAAGTTAGTGTTATAATTAGGAGATAAACAATAAGAAACCACTTAATATCGAATGTAAAATAATATTTTTTAAACAATTTTAATAATTTAAAGATAAAGTCTTAAAATTTATTATATTTTGAGTTTTTTATGAGTTCAAGCAGTTTGAGTGAGGGGTGGGCTGAGCTCTAGCTAGCTCACGAGTCATTTTAACTCGGTTGCACCCCTACTTGAAGCCATGTTATGAAGAATCTATTGCTTGTTATGCTTTACTTTCATTTTTGTTCGAGAACTTTAGCCTAAATATTAGAACTCTTCCATGTTTTAGTTGCTGAAGCATCAAGAAATGATTGAAAGGTTAGCGGATCAGAATCAAAAGTTGCACAAGGTACTCATTGAAGATCTGAAAATTCCACCTGACAAACTCGAAACCAACAGTGGTACACATTCGGGCGTTATATATCCTTGTATTGACTGTTTTGAGTGTCGCAGAAGAAGAAGAAAAATGAAGACGTAGCGCAGATTTGTAGAAATGATTGAAGTTCTTTTTGTTTTATTATTATTATTATTATTATTATTTACTTTTCTCCAGCAGTTTTCTAATTTGTTCATTTAACATAAATAAAAATTATACAATCATTTTTCTAATGTATAACAATAAAAATTTTGTAATATTAGTCATCTGTTATGATTGTTGATTGAGCGACCAGGCATGGTATGATTTATTTTGGATCAAATTTAGGGTCTGTTTGGGGCAGCTGCAGCTTATTGAATAATCTGCTGATAAACTGATTAAAAATAATTTGTTGATAAGCTAAGTGCGGTGACTATTATAATTTTTTATTTTTTTTTAAAAAAGCTTGCCCGCTGCCAAAAAGCTGTTACCGCACCTATCTAGGTGTTGTGTGAAAATGCTGTTTTCAGCGTTTTCAAAACGCATAAGCTACCAAAAATGCAGTGTGTTTTCAAAACGCCACCGCACTAAATAAGCTGTCTCTAACGGACCCTTATTATTTTTATGTTATTAGGATTTTTAACTAATTACTTTCTTTTTAGTTTTTTTTTTCTCATTTTTCATTCTTATATTTCTTTCTTTTGCTTTTTTCTACAGTGATGATGACCTAGACATGGAGAGATTTGAAAAGGGATAGATGTTAGCAAGGCCATACTTCTGGTCATAATAAAAAGGGGAACACATTTGCCCACTAATAAACAAAATGATGAATTCTATCGATTAATTGCGATCATTAGAATCATGCATTCAGTCATGGGTCAGAGGGGTCCACTTTGAATACTCAAATGTGAACTAAGCATGTGAGAGATGCATAATTCCAATATACAATTGAAATTTATATTGTTTTAATCGTCATTGGATTCACAACACATTTGCAAGCATAAAAATAAATGATATTTGAGGGGATTGAAGTGAAGGTTTGCATGTATCTCACCATCAGATCTGCACTACTTATATAATAGCAGACGTAAGGAGAATTTTGAACACCCCTATAAAATTTTTCACACTCAAGGGGCTCGACAACTCATCAATGAGCTCGAATGAAACTTATAGTGAACTCACTAGTCCACTTATAATGATAAATGAGGCATTAAAAAAATAAAGCATTTGGATCAATCAACCGCCAATAGATCTGCACCACTTTTATTGACAAAATTTAAGACATTAATATGAAATCTTACATGCTCAAGGGACTCGACAACCGTCAATGAGTTTGAATGAAACCTGCAACACACTCATTAGTTCGTCTATAAATGTAAATGTGGCATTAAAGAGAATATGCATCAAATTTACATGGAACTCATTGAATCTTCAACGAGGTCAAATAAAAATTAGAGTGCATGCACTAGTTCACTTGTAAATGCACCATGCCATTTGAAAGCACATGTCATGATTATGGAAGGGGTAAACTTGAGTACTTGAGTGAGAGTTAAATGTATGAGGGATGCATAACTTCAAATATACACTCAAATTTCAGGAAGTTTTTACTCTACAGGGATTCATGATAAACTTGCTATTAAACAGAAGACGATTCATTTTAAAAGCCCAAAAAAAACTAAATATTTGTGCATTCGCCACCATATCCACAATCTCTCGAACTTAAATAAAATATAGGCTTGCATATCCAATGATGATATCTTTACTCAAATAACCATCAAATTCTCTAAAATTTAGTTCAAATTTACAAGTCTTAAATAGCCGCAATGTGCTTCGCCACTTGCCACAAGTTTCTTAATCTTAAACATTTGAGCCTGTTGTGTGGGTTAAATGCATGTCTGTGCTAAAATGAGATATTCCTCAAGAAATTTATGTGTATTCCTAAACTTTAACGAAGTCCTATTTTCAAATATCAAATATTATCATTTTGCACATTATCAAGTGGCTTGCCTTTCCTGTAGGGTAAGGACTTAAGTCCCACACATTAGTTCAAACTCTTTCCGTCAACAGGCTATTGTGGGCAGAACTGAGCTCTCATTGGGCTAGTTTGATTCCTTTTCTAATAAAAATTGTAGTTGACATGACTTACTATCATTAGTGCTTAAATGAATAAATTCAATCAAAAGCCAAAAAAAGTAATTTAACTCATTTTTCATAATGATGGTCATGTTAAATGCAAATCTCAAATGATAGATATATCAAAAAAAAAAAACAAAAAGATATATATGCATATATATATATATATATATATATATATATATATATATATATATAGACACACACACACACATAAAAAAGCTAAGAAAAAAAAAAACACCCTCCCTGCCATTTTTTTTTTGTAACAAAATTAATGTTAACCTAAGTTTATCTAAATCTAATATCATGTCAATTATATTACTAAATTTAAACTCAAAATAACTTCGAGTTATGACATGACTTGAATTCTCTATTTGTGTGGTTTTATCATTAAATGACACCATTATACACGATCATGATTGCAGCTCGTAAGTTTTTCAATGATATTTTACCCCTTTAAGTTATGAATCATATGAATTATCTTGTAGAGCATGTAATACTTTGTTTGTTAATGTTGACTAAATTAGTACTTAATACAAATGTTCACCTCAGGTCTATGGGATCTCCTTGGATGAAGAAACTCACGGTTGCTGACAATGATCTTTATATCAGGTTATGTTGACTACCTCTCCATACTAAGTAGACCATAGTCCACGATGTCGCAAGATGACGCAACCATTGGATATTTATCGAGTGCATTATCATTTCCCCCATGGTACATTCTTAAGCGCTAAGTGATAGGATTTTATAAAATTTGAATATTAAATATGTTTCTTATGTACGCTAAGCAATTAGCGGTTTAATGCCTAGCCTCAATCAAAAGTGCTCTCATATTATTACGATGGGTAATGAACTATAGGGGCTTGTGCCCATGCAACACCTCAAACCAGATCTTAAAGTCCTCACAAAATGAAGGTGAAATCTCATTGGTAATGTCTTGTCTGCTATAACATCTTCCTTCTAAAAATTCAATGTAAACCTCACGGTAAACCTTATCTCTTCATTTCTCAATTCTTCGAGAGAGATTATAGTCCTTTCAAATTTCAGGAACCCACAAATTTTCTAGCATCTCCTTTGAGGAATATTTCTTTTAAATCATCGACTGATCATCTATTCATTATAATAGCATTTAAAAATGAGAATAGATAAATGAATGTTAAATTACTTTCATTTATTACAACCTCTCATAAATTGAAGTAAAATTTGTTGGTGAACATCGAAGTATGACATAAAAGTCTTAATTTGAAAGTTTGTTTTTATACCTATGTATGAAATGTATGCTCAAGGTCATCCTGTGAGACCTCATTTTGCAATTGTACCTACACGTCACCCACAACAACCTATGCAAGAATCAAAAGTTACTGATGTTGCTAATGGCAAGGCTCTTTAACAGAGGGCATGTATGTATTTGAAAGGTTGGCCCCTCCTGAAGTCCTAACCATGAAAAATATTGTTATCAAACCGATTGTCTTCAAGCCTGCCATTATGTTTATCGAGTATCATACAGACATGATGCTGAAGCTTTCTTATCTAAAATAAAACTCATTAGCAGATGAAGGAAGAAAATAAATATGAAGGGAATGACCCAGTAGTCGCAGTTGAAGTAACTTGCCACTTGACTCATCGCAAAACCAAAAGCAATTTTTCCCCTATGTAATAAATTTAATAATTTAAAACGGGTGTCAAATGGAGCAACTCTAATGATGAAATAAAAGGTTTTTATTTTTGAATCAACAATGTATGAATCCTACTGATGAGAATAAGAAACTTGAAACCGAATTAGTTAGAGTGACAGTCCTGAAGGTCATTACGGAGAAATGCCTTCTGAAGCCTGAAAAATGAATGAAATAAGAAAAAAACGACATATGGCTAGCACTCCTGGAGGTCTGTCGTACATAAAATATTTCAAAATATGGGTTCTAAAGAAAAAAATAACCATTATATTATTACATCACTTAAATTTTTAAAAAATGAATTTTATCCATTAATCGATGAATTTAAATTGTTTTATAATAAAATAATGCATACCATGAAGAAAAAAATTTAAAATATTATGTACATGAATTGCCCTTATGTGCATGATAATAGAAGAAATTTAACCCCTTGCAGTATTAGATGAGGAGACGCTAATATACTCTCGTATGTGCTATTAGACATTTGTAATATACACACCGCCGTGCAGGCAAGAATATATCTATCATGGGTGAGTAAGTAACTTTCCACGATAATAATAGATTTGTTAAGCGCCCCATTGTGTCGATGTGTCACTTATTATCCAGGGGTGCGTTAGATCATGCTTACAAGGTGCTCCAATACGGATGTATTAGTTCAAAAATTCAAAGGACAATTGAAGCTGAAATATAAAACCTCAAAAGACAGCAAATTTAATACATATAGAAATTTTTATATTTCTAACACGAGCAAATGTCACATGATTTTACATCACACAATAAAAAAGCCTAACATACATATCTTTTTTTGCCATTAAATTATTGTAATTTAAAAATATAATTACTCATATAAATTATTTTATATTACTTATTATGTGGTATTTAATTTTTCATATATTAATGAATGAAGGATGAGGGATTTTATTTAGTATATGGAACAACACTAATGCAAGATATGATGTTTTAATATATATTTTCATTTTAGTTTTTTTACACCTCTTTTTTTATTATTTAATTTAGAATCAATACTTACAATCGAGTTTCACAATCCAACCATCTATTCTCATATTTTAAAATTCAAATTATTATCTTCAAATTATTTATGTATTTTGCCATTAAATAATAATTCACTTTAATCTGTGCTATTAATTAGGGCCGTCAAAAAAGCTCGTTGTTCGCGAACAGTCCGTGTTCCGTTCGTCAATGAGTTCGTTTTCGATTCGTTCGATAATTAGACGAGACGAACATGAACAATTTTTTTTGTTCAATTAATTAAACGAACCAAACATGAACAGTGATGTGTTCGTTTGTGTTCGAATCATTATTGTTCGAAATATAAAATAATTTAAAATAATTATATATAAAAAATTTATGATATTTTAAAAAATTAAATTTTATAGTTATAATATATAATGAATTAATA